GTGTTATAGTTAACACTCCAAATTATTGAGTTGAACAAACTATTTCTCATGCCAAAACAGTACTGAGTACTGTGGTAATGATAAAGTTGTCCATAATCACTGAAACATGAAATGAAGAAGTCTTGCAAGCAAAGTTACCATTACTTTGTTATCTATTTTCTAGAGTATCCGAACGTGGAATCAATTTTTATTTTAAACACTACTTATGAATAAAATTAATTGTTAATTGCATTCAATATTTTGCAAAATTCAATTTCGGAAAGATATCAGTTCAAGATATCACTTCATATGCTTTATCTTAAATAAGTAAACAATTACTGTATTTATCAGGTATCAACGTTGGTCCAGTGGTTGCAGGTGTAATTGGTATTAAAAAGCCACATTATGATATCTGGGGTAATTCAGTAAATGTGGCTAGTAGAATGGATAGTTCTGGTATAGCTGGTAAAATACAAGTGATTTTTAATCATTACACAGTTTCATTTTCATTTTCATGAACTTTTTGAGTAATTCAACTGAATTGGATTTTATCAGAAATAAAAAAATAACAATATTATGCTCATTTAAAGAACTGATATGATGCAAAGTACGGAATACACGTGACAGATAGGTTTTCAGTAGCTACTGTATATACTGCAACTGATTTAGTAAGTATGCAATCACAATATTTCATTAATTCTCTCAAACTTATGTCATTTAATATACATTATTTATTGCTATTTCGTAGAATATTGAGATTGTTATTCAGAAAAGTGGCTTTTAGGTGACTGAAGAGACGAAGAATATACTGGAAAAAGAAGGCTTTGAATTTGAGTGTCGAGGAGTGATAAAAGTAAAAGGCAAAGGCGATATGAAGACTTATTTTATAAAAGTATCTGAAGAAGACTTAAATATTGACTTCAGTAAAACGTGAAACTTCTCTGCTCGAGACTAATTTTAATTTTTACTCTCAGTTGCCAGCGTTGTTATCACCTTCTTCGGCATTTGTTTGAAATCATTTATCCCTATTGATAATAACAAAATTAAGTGCCGATATTGAGCAAGATAGTATATAAAAAATCCGAGACGTAGTGCTACTAATAATTATATTTTTATCAAAATTTGATCCAGTCTGTTGACCAGTTGATGTATTTTATGAATATCTGAGATTTATTGTCGAAGATGCTGAATGTTTCTTGTTGTGTATTTTTAAAAGATATTAGAATTCATAACTCTTACAATGACCCAAGAGAATTCTGTGTTATGACCAAAGAAAATGATACACTCTCATTAATTTCACTATCTACTAAAATAAGAAAAGGATGAAAATTACATTAAAATTTGGTTTCAAAACAAATAAAAACAGACGAAACTTCAATTTTTTTAGCTCAATTTGCTTATAAGCAAATCCCAACACACAGTCTTTTTCAATTCGAAATGCACGACACGTACTAATTATGCACCAGTAACTGACAATCACATGCGAGCTTAATGGTGTTAGAATTGGTCAAAATATGAAGCAGAACAATTATAGTATTATTTAAATTTGTTCATAATATTTTACAGAATTTTATGAAGTTAAATTGTCTAGTCCCTCTTTTTTTGCTGCTCATAATAACTCGAGAAACTTCTTGAAGCGTGCATAAAGTTATCAGTCGCGAAAATCTGTCGTAAAATAATGATAACAAAACTAACTACGACAGCACTTAACGTCGAAAACAATACAACTGGCGCGAATATCGCTAATCCAAAAAGGAACGATACAACTGAAAGAACAAATTCGTATTGAAACAAACAATACTCAATAGAAAGTAAATTTGAAAAAGTGATTTAAAAATTTTTGCATATAAGTCAGTGCCGTGTATTATGTATTATACATTGTTATTAATACTCATATCAAAGCTATTATTAATTGTTATTAGCTATTGTCTCTAGATTATTTTGGAATCATATGAAAATTTTGAACTACCTTGTCAAATTTACATTGAGTGATTATATTTGATTAAGGAATTTCTAGTAAAAGTTCAAAACATACTATGTATAAGAATAGCAGAGGAATAGATGAGAATACTCGACAAAAGAATATACAGTAGCAGCAAAATTAGAGGCATTGCATTAAACAGAATTATTGTTTTAATAATTATAGTAAATCGCCAGTCCAATTTATCATCAGAAACATTGAGAGTTCTCATAAGCTTAGCAACCAAAAGTCCTCAGAAAATTTTTCTATAAAAAATTCTATTAAAATAAAATGTTATTCTCTAATTTTCTTAGATCTGATTTATTACTCGTAATAATAACGAAATCAACATTAACTTGTAAACTGATTGAAATACCTGAAAAAAGTAAGCATTCAACATGAATAACGCGACTGTTGAAGTTTTAGTAATGAACTCGTATTTTATAGCAGTAAAATATCAGTACATGAAATAGAATAAAGTGTAATACTCAATAATCTCAGGATATTTCATACAATGGCAACAAAGCAGTGAAAGATCAATCAGTACTTTATCGTTTTATGCCTTTAAAATTATCAAATTAAAACCATGAAATGCTAGCATAAAATTACCGTTGAATAACTAACTCAATATCATAAATAAAAGACAATGCAAATAGAAATACTAAAACTGTTGAACAGAAAATAATAAGAATCCAGATAACTGTCTACCAAACATCTTGCCAATGCAATTTGATACAGAAATCTAGATATTTCACACGAATACGCAGTACGTTACAGACCAACCTAGCACAAATTTTTAATAATCACTCTTACAATATCACAATTTTCACTAAATGCAGACAATAAAAATCACGAAGAGTCTTCACGTTGTCATCGTCGCCTATTTAAAAAACTAGAAAATCTTAATATCCAATCAATATAACTTAGTAATAGTACTACTTCATAACTCTAAGGCACATTACCATCTCTAACCTCTCATCAACATATAACTTAATTTCCACCATCGATTTCTACTACTCAATAAAAACCACTGAAGAACAGGTTATCTACGAAGCATATATTTATAATCATCTTATCTATAGATGTTTGAAATAAATTTCCTTACTTACTAGTACAAATTTCAGATACGAAAACTTAGACAAAATTAAAATAGTTATCAAATATGGAAATAACACGAAATCATTTGAAGAGATATCCACTAAGAGACCCACTTATAGTATAGATACTACAAGATACGAGAAAATTTACAGTTTCTATGACCAACTGTGTAACAATGTTCATTCATTGTTTGATCCACTCTCTAGTACTTGGACAATAATTAGAACCGCCTACAGCACTAGAGAGACGTTAATCTATTCACATGCTTGGAAGAGATGAGATAAAATACTTTTCAACAAATAATTACTTCACCATGGTCATGGAAGGGAAATCTATCAGTACACTTTTTGCTTTTCATAAAATGAACAGAAACGACGTAAACTTAAAGAATGTAAAGAAGGCTATTGGTATCACCCATAAACCTCCAATCCTGGTGGCTGTCTTAGTTTATATAGTCATAACCTTGACTGACTCATAAAATGTACGGTTTTCTAATTCTGCAAGTATAAGCAAGTAAATATTTTGCCCTTACTAAAAAGTAACTGAATCAGATTACCCTTTAAAAGACATAGAAAGACAGAATTAATGCATATTTTAAGCCTAACGATATAAATTTTGCAAAACTAAAAAAACTAGAAATACTGTCAGGAGTGTCGAGACATAAGATGAAGGTAATCTTTTATAAAAAAACATGCAACTGGAACATATGACACCTATTAGAACAACACAAAATAATGACATTTATATAACTTGGTTGATTTTACATCTCTTTCCTTTCATATTATCTGATTTATCAAGCTAAATTCGGGATCTGACGATCGGTAATTCGTTGAAAGCCAACCATTCCTGAGAATTTACGACAAAGCTCAGCTGCCTTTCGTTTAAAAATGGCATTAAAACATTTGGGCTGAAAAATTATAAAAATATTTTAATCATTGTCAGTAATTTCAAATCTTAAAATAAATGAATAAATAAACGAAATATATATAGTTCATATACATACCGTTACTTCAGAGATTGGAATTCCAAGCTCCGCAGCAATTTCATTTGATGTTATTCGGCGAGTCACATATTTCATTATCTCAGAAAGGACTTTATTCCCTTAAATACAGACAAGTTAGCAAGTACGATTGGCTAAACACACGACTTTTCATTATAAATTGATGAACCTTGAATACTTAAATTACAAACTTCTAGTCACAAACGAGAATCGAAATTTCAGAAGAAACTGCTGAAAGCTTGAAAAATTTCTACAAACCTTCCTTATTCACACTTACAAAATTACGAAACCGACTATTAGAAAGTATATCAATACAGAGTTGGTCGACTTCTTCAATCCACATGGCATCGGACTTCTAAAATTCAGACAATAACTGGACTTAAAATCACTAATTATTTGATCTGACTACTTGAAAATAAATTTTCACTTCGACGAAATGGAAATCGAAGCTTTTTTTTTCAAATATTTTGCTTCTAGTATTACATATTTTTATCTTATAAAAATGCCTGAAATACTATACTATTTCGTTCATAGGACTTTCATTGAAATTAGTATCGAAACTGGATTTTTCTGCCAGTCTGCAAAAAAAGCAATAACTATGAATACGTATTACGCACTGGACACTAATAACTTGACAGCACAATAAAATCTCATTTCTTTTAACTCATGAAATAAAAATGCAATAGATCTCTCAATGTGTCTGTGTATTTCATTTTTACAAAATCAATGTAGAAATCAATTATACTGACTGTGACTGAATCTCGTCAGCGATTTGCTTCTCGTTATTTGCATCACTGCTGGACAACTCACTTCGACTAGCGAGATTCAACTGTTTATTGAGAATTGCATTGTTGAAAAATCTCTGAATTGCACTCTTGATCAATGCAGCAAAAAATTTGAAGACCAGCATTTTGTGAGCATAAAGAAGAAATATAATTTTCACATTTTGAAGCTTCGAAAAACACAATTAAATAAGTAGTACAATATCATACTTGCATTTTTTCAGCTTTGAAAACCATTTGTTTTTTTAATTGGTTATCCCACATATCATCATGACAAATATTATTAATTCCAGTTGCTAGTTCACAAGCCCTTAAAATCTAAAAAACACTGTGTAAGTAGTGATGAGGGACAATGTCCAAAAATAACAAACTATACTGAACAAAGCAATATTGACTGAAAAACAAGATTAATAAAGGAAAATGATGAAATCTAACATCAATATGGTCCATCTCATCTGAACTAGTCCCTTCGCTTGATGAATTCATTATTTTCAAATAACTTTCATCCGATGAATCTTCTTCATAACTTTCCTACAAAGCAATAATCGATATAAGTACGCAAACTACATATCTTCCACCTATTATCGAGATTCATACAATTAGTTGTTGCACTATCAAACAGACATAAAGAATAAACGGAAGGCTTCCTCAATATTAACTTAAAACAAAAGTATTTCATTTGAATGTAATTCATCATCAAGGGGATTAAATACTAAACATTAATAAAACAGTTGATTCATAAAATTCAAATTGCCTTCATCAAATAAACTATTTTATTTTGAAGTCTGTAAGAATCAATAATAAATAAATGAAAACAATCTCGCAAAAGTTCTAAATAAAAAAGGTTATTATAGTAATTCATATCTATCATTAAGCCATTGCGACTTACAATAAAAATATGCAAACTAAAATGACCGCTTCCCCGAAAGTGACCATAACTTACTAACATCATCTTTATTGAGATCCATACATTTTATTTCACTTCCAATAAATGGGACGTCTGCACTACTTTGAGAATTAGGGTCTTCAATATCCTGTAAATAAACGATCAACATCGTGAAAGTTCAAAAACTTAAAAAACTAAAAGAGAATTTTGATTACAGTAATGACAATTTACTGACGTCATCTTTGTTTGAATTCACAGATTCGATTCTGCCTCCAGAAGATAATTCGTCTTCATCCCCTTCGAAGATAGGAATCTCAATACCCTATTTAACAGTTGTTGCTGTTAATAATTGACAACATGCAAATTTCACAAGTAAAAAAACAAAGAAAGGAAATCTAAAAAGCCTTTTACAAATGGTAATGACAGTTTACTTACATCGGTTTCGTCTGAATAAACTACATCGGTTTTGCTCTCAACAAATAAGTCTTCCGCATCACTATCAGATGTAAGGATTTTGATATCCTGTAACAACTTGAAAATGAATGTTTGGTAAATAAATTAAAAAAATAATTATTTGTCTTATAACTATCTATTTTGAGTGCGGTAATAATAATTCACTAACATTGCCTTCGTCTGAATTCATATATTCGATTTTTCTCTCAAGGATTGAATCGTCTGTATCATTACCAGTAATATCGATCAAATCCTATCAAAGAAAAAGTCAGCAACGTGAAAATTAAATGATTAAAAAAACAATTTTAAAAAGAATAATTATGGTTCACTAACATCATTTTCGTTCATACTCGTATGATCTATATTGCTGCCAGTAAATGAGTAGTCTGTATCATTATCAGAAATCGTCATAAAAATATCCTGCTAAACCAACGATTAACAACATGAAATTAGAGCAAAAAAATATGTAAGCCGAAAAAGAACATACAATAATGATAATTTACTAACAACAATAAACATGATTTCGAGCTCCATATTTTGCTCGCAATAAAAAAACTGTTTCTATCGTTATAGGAATCGAGATGTTAATATCCTGCCAAATCTGATTGACAGTGCAAAAGTTTTGAATTTTCAAATTTTTTCATACCATGAACTTTTCTGCACTATAAAATTAAAAGCAATATCCAGTTTGACTTTTGAAAAGCATACACATATATAGTATGTGTAATATTTTCAACGAAACTTAAAACATTCATTATTATCGTCAATCTATATAAGCTTCTCTTACCTGTATATACTGCATTTTTAAATGAAATGTACTCGCAATCCATATGATGTGATAAATATTGAAGTCGTCAGACAATTTAAATGATTAAAATGATACCTTACCATTACCAGAAAAATTTTCAACTCACTTTAGATGACGATTGTTCAGTTGTACAATCTATAATAACTTTGATATATTAATATATCAATATTTTATGCGCATAAGAACATAATGAAACATCACATTTTCATGTTCGATTAAAATACCTTCTAACGCATCATCATATTCTTCATCACTCGAAGATTCTATTACTGAACATCGTTCTGTAGTGAAGTAGTTGTTGCCCTGTAATTGAATACATACATTACAGCTTGAAACAAAAAGTGGCGCACTCAATAGCAATACAGCAACTTTCTCAAATTGAAAACTTCCTAAAAAAATTTTTCGAGCACCATTCATTAATTAAATTTAGTGAAAAACTTTGATTTAATCTTAGAAGATCCAAAACACTAATTTAACGGAAACACTGAAATCCACATACAATTCCCGCAATAAGATCACTATCTGTTGTGGCATAAATACCAGTGCCAGAAAGGTTATTATTGTATTCTTTATAATAAAGAACTGATACACTTGAACCAGTAATAGATCGGAATGAGCATGCTATATTCAATAATCTGACCTCACAATCTGAAAAAATAATTGGAACAACTACTGCTCGAAACATTTTAACGAGCAAAAAATTTTTCTAAATACGATATGAAAAAGCAAAATTACATTTAGCAATTAGAACAAAAAATGTTTAACTATCTACACTTCTGAATATAATTAGATTATGAATTACTTCCAACTTGAACTCGACCATTTTTTTTCATTTCCGCATTCCTTTTAAACAAAAGAACATCAGATTGAAATGTAATTTCAGAATCAACGACAACTTGTCTAGCCTAAAATGTTCCGCATTAAGGATTAAAATGATGCGCCAATGCTACACACCTGTTTGAGTCTAAGATAAAAACGATAAAACACAATTTTTAGCTTGACTACAAAATAATTCATAAGATGGTAATATTACCAAAAAGTTTTCCTGTCTCGCAATCAATAACCTAAAATTATTATATATATTGAAAACTGAAAAGTAAAGATAAGATACCACGAAATAAACAGGTGTGCTGTCTTTTTTTGAAGGCATTGCATGAAATTCTACAGCAGTTAACGGCTTTAGCTGCTGTGTTATGTGACCTTCGACGCGAATAAATCCAATATAATCATTCCACAAATAACCAACATCATTTTTCACATTGCAAACAACTGCTACTCCTTGAGAGTTTAGTTTTGTGTGAAGCACAAACTTTAAACATTTGGGGAAAAAATTATTATTGCTTTAGACGTCTTATCTTCATACTTTCGAAAACTGCTTACAAGATTAACTATGATGGTAGGCTTACAACAATAAAGGATTTAAAGGTAAAAAATTTTTTAGAACAAAGTTGCTGTTGCATACCTTTGACAATATATTCCTTATTCTTGATTTCATAGTTTAATCGTGGGTATATCATTAATTCGATACTTTTGGCCATCCAGACTCCACACTTCTATAATTAAGCAATTTATCTGACTAAACATGAATTTTCAGCTTATAATTTGAATAAGACGCTTTCATCTAATATTTTCAACAGTGACTACGATTATATATATATATATATATATA